GTTGGTATTTGGAAAACATTTAACTCTGCAGCTTTGTAGAAATGATATTTCCACTTGAACACAGAGGAAGTTGTACTCATTGAGAGTTTAACTTAACAGTGCACAACCAAAGTTAATTAGTGCCCATTTCATGTTCTGCAAAGATAAAATATCAACGTCCTATAGAGATGTCTTATTTGTATATACAGTATTTCATAAATCCATGGGATACTCAAAAGATTAAACAGGAACATCCTTTACTTATGGAACACAGGATAACATAAATCTAAAATTAATTGTCATACATTGTTTTTAATGAGAACGAAATGACCTATCCTACCAGCTCTAACTGCGAATACAGGTTTTTCAAGAGTGTACCTTCTTCCTCATTTATTTCTAACTGCCAGGTATTGCCAAACAAAAGTTGATTCTGGAAATTCTGGTAAATGGAGAGGGATTTTTGACCAGAGAAGGTGCTGTCTGAAACAGCCAGAAGATCAAGCTTGCAACAATTACCAACAAGCTACTGTTTCTTAATATTAAGCTAAAAATTCCCTGGTCCACTGATGCAAGACTTATTTTACACAAATTGTGAACAAAAAGACAAGTGGTAAATCAGGGGGAAAAAAGTGAAGAAACTTTTATTAAACACCATGCAACCATCTGGCACCACACCGCAAAGTTGATTATTGACTAACTTTAATAGCAGACATTTTTATCTATTCCTTTAAACTTTTTTGTAGAGGAAATGTCCTCTGTATTGGGGAGGTGGGGGGACAGTTGGAAGCGGGGGCAGATAGTGGAAGGTGGAGGGTGAGTTGGAGGGTAGAAGGAGGAAATTAAAAGATGCATTGATAAAGAAGGAGTAGCGGACAGGAGTTATGCAAGGAATAGTTTATGTAAAGCCACAGAGAGAGTGGCTTATGCCGGAAACAGCAGGTCCTTCCAAATTTCTCAAGCTTTGTCCTTGCTAACAGTAAGCAAGCCTAGGAGGGGATGCTTGAAGAACCTGGTAAGCAACTGCCTGGCTCTCCCAATAGCAAGTCCATGGATTTCTCAGTTAAGTTCACTTAAAACTTGCAAACGCTATTCAGTTGCTGAAGATTGCCAAAAATCACTGAATTTTATAATGTTAAGATAGAATCTTACAGATCAAGAAGTCCCAAGCCTGTGTTTTTCCAGATATAATTATAATCATTTAAACAATCCTACCCTTTGTGAGGAAAGTATAGGAGGCCAGGCAAGGTAGACAGGGCTTGAGGCCTTGGCAGTTGCTCCCTGTTGATCTCTAGGGGAAAGGAGTGGGGGTTAATATATATTCATTAATACCAACATTGTACTGAAACATTTGCAATTAGTCAATGGTAATAGGTTCTTCTGAATATTTTACATGACAAATATTCTTAAGTTTAATTTCAAAAAGACATGGCGTTTCTTTCTATTTTTTTTAAGATGGGCCTTGCTCTGTGCCCTCAAACTCTATAATCTCAAACTCCTGGACTTTTAGTAGCTAGGACTACAGGCGTCTGTCACTACACCTGGCTAGGTTTTTTACTTTTTGTAGAGACTGGTCTCACTATGTCTGCCTCCTCAGCCACCCAGAGAGCTGGGATTACAGGTATAAGCCACTGTGCCAGGCCTAGCCCTGGAGTTTCTAATACATTGCTATACAATTCTGAGATTTCTCTTAAGCATGGATTTGTAAATGAAGAGCTGGAGCTTAATTTTTCTAATTCACACAGCACTGTTTCAACATTGTCTTATTCAGTGGTTCTCAGCCTGGGAAAGAAGGGGAAAAGTGATTTTGCTCCCCAGGGGACATTTGGCAACATTTGGAAATACTATGGCTGTCATGACTGGGAGTGTTATTGGTATCTAGTGGGTAGATGCCAGGGATGCTGCTAAACATCCTACAATGGACTGGACAGCCTCTCACAAGGAAAAATGATCTGGCCCAAAATGCCAATAGGGTTGAGATTGAGAAACCCTGGTCTAATCCGAATGCTTTAAATATTATTAAAACATATAGTGAGATCAAGAAGTTATTACTGCATTTTCATTAACACCAATTTTCTCAAAGGCAGTTGGAAAAACAGACCCTGACTAAAATTGTATGTGAGTTATACAGGGAAAAAAATATGACACATCTGTGATTTGAAAAAAAAAAAAAAGCTGAACGGAAAAAAAATAGATATTTTTATTCATAAGAGCATTGCCATGCAATTTTCAATGCTCCAGATAAATAACCTTCTTCCATTGACACTGTGCTGAAAGAAGTGAGGAACAAAATGGTTATAAACTATCCTTCTCACAAATTCTAATCTATTATCAGACTGTTATTTCTAAAATATATTAATACACCATCTAAAGAACAGCCCTCTTATCAGAAGCTAAGATACATAATAAGTCAGAAGATAAATGCACCAGTATGAACTTATTATAATTTTTAAAATTTCTCTGGATTACAGGGCAATTAAACTCTGTAGGAAGTGCTTATTGGAGAGTAATTCTGTGGTCCAGAAGACACTAGAATGTGCTCAGCCATTTAGCACCCACCCACCTCCTTTCTTTTCCCTTTCCTGGTAAATTTTCCTATATGTTCATAAGGACAGATGCCATTGCTGTGGGAATCACTCTGGTTTAAGCCCCATGAAAAAAACAGTAGCTAACTATATTAGTTAGTCCGTTCTCACACTGCTATAAAGAAATACCTGAGACTAGGTAATTTATAAAGAAAAGAGGTTTAGTTGGCTCACAGTTCCACTGACTATACAACATTATGATGGCATCTGCTCAGCTTCTGGGGAGGCCTCAGGAAACTTACATTCATGGCTGAAGGGAAACAGGGAGTAGCACTTCACATGATCACAGAAGGAGCCAAAGAAAGGTGAGGGGAAGGAGCCACACATTTTTGAAGGACAAGATCTAATGAGAACTCACTCACTATACAGTACCAACTGCGGGGTCGAGGGCGGGGATGGCAGTGGGGGTGGTTGCTAAACCATTCCTAAGAACTCTGCCCCCAAGATCCAATCTCCAATCACCTCCCACCAAGCCCCACCTCCAACACTGGGGATTACAGTTCCACATGAGATTCGGCAGGGACACAAATCCAAACCATATAACTAACCTTATCTAAACACTAAACAATAGGATAAGCAAAATCATTTTTGTAGCTTCTTTCAAAAAAATCTTATGTATTAAAATGCTGAAATGGATAAGAATTTCATCAAAATAAGAACCTCACCAGATCTGACCCATGGGAGAGGAGATTGTTCAATAAAAAATTGCAAATGGATGAATAAATGAATCCTCTCCTTTCAAGTTCTATGCTGCATACAACAAATCCAGATGGGTTTCACTTAGATGGGTTTCAGGGACACCTTTTTTAAATACCTATCATTTTATGAAAGAAGCTATCATCTAAATAGTCCTGTTGGCCACTTCCTGAAAACAAGTCAATTATTTGTGATAACTCTCAAATGTCCTAATAATCCCATGGGAAATGTAAATATAATGAGGACAAAGAATTATAAGAAGTGCTAATGTCAGATTTTTACCCACTACATAAGTCCACTCTCGTTCTATGGGAGTGACTTTCTTCTTTGGGTGAGACCTTGAAATCTGGGATTATAATTTTAAGGAAAATAAGTGTTTATAAAATGGTATTCGGATGTAAATTATCTCTTTTTTTTCTGTTCCTCACAATTGATATTATGGATTCCCATAAGGATTCATGTCTTCTATTCACTTTAATGAACAGTTGTTGGGCAACAATTCTAGAAGAGTTCCAATTCTCATCAGGAGAATGGACAAGGTGGAGAAGCACAGAAAATGCAACGAGTAGAATGTCTAAGTCATCACTTTGGAATTGATTGAACACAAGTAAAAGTGGGAAAGCTACGTAAAACAGAAGGGAATGGGTAAGCAGGGTGATGTCTGGGAGAGGAGGGGTTCCACAGTCATGAGATTCAACTCTGTAACACTCCGTAGGGTTACAACACTGCCATTCATATACTGAGGTAGCAGCAGGGAAACTTTTTATTTGTTAGAAATATTGAATTTCGCCTCCCACCCCAAAACATTTTTCTCATTCTGTTCCTGTTCTTTTTTATTTCTGTAATTTTTGCTGTTTCAAAAATGATCTTTTTTTCTTTTGGAAGAAGTAATTCTTCAAATCCAGTTCACCTAAAGAGATTTGATATGTTCAAGCTACAAATACACCGTATCCAGCAATACCTACCACATGCCTACTTTGAGCTCTGAGCAACCTGCACCTCAAGCCTAGTTCTCATTGTTTTGCTTTTGGCAAATTTTTACTAAGTGCCCTTCCTCCCTAAACACACGTATATGTTTGCCAGACCCTAAAGCCCTTTATGAACATGCAAACTCCTCCCTTCTGAAAACCTTTGCGTGAGTAGTCAGCAGGCTAATTCATCCATTGCAATGTGGCTTTGTGCTAGGGTTCTGTTTCTGTGCTGCCTACAAGATAATCACAGATGTGACTGCATCTTAGAGGTTCCTGAATCTTTCAAGAGAGTCTGGTTCAAAGGAAAATTAAAAGGTGGAGGCCGGGCGCGGTGACTCAGGCCTGCAATCCCAGCACTTTGGGAGGCCAAGGAGGACCGATCACCTGAGGTCAGGAGTTCGAGACCAGCCTGACCAATATGGAGAAATCCCGTCTCTACTAAAACTACAAAATCAGCCGGGCCTGGTAATCCCAGCTGCCTGTAATCCCAGCTACTTGGGAGGCTGAAGCAGGAGAATCACTTGAACCCGGGAGGCGGAAGTTGCGATGAGCCGAGATCGCGCCATTGCACTCCAGCCTGGGCAACAAGAGCGAAACTCCGCCACACACACACACACACACACACACGGTGTAGTTTAGGAAGTAAAAAAAAGTAGATCTCCCCTCACCCTTCAGGGCTGAAGGCACAAACTCTAGGGCCAGGGCGCTCGCCTACCCAACTTCACATGCACTTACAGGTCACCTAGCACTCAGGTACTTTGTGGCTCCTTACCTTTCAGTACAGCAGCAACAACGTTGATCGGAAGTTTATCACTGTGTGTTACGGGCCATGGGCCATGTGTGTTAGAATTTTACGTGAAATTAACATTTAATTCTCACGGACACCTCTGAAGTAGGTGCCACAGCTCCCATTTTGCGAAGGAGGCAGCTGAGGTTCCCAGGGGCTCAGTACCAGCACCATGGGCCGAAGCACGCAGGGCAAACACAGCCGGAGGTGAGCACAGACCTGCTTCTGCACCCCGCGCTCCTAACCACAAGGCTCCATCCCTCCAGGAAGGCCTTTGTCATCCCTGGGACGACCTGCCAGCTCTGAGGCATGACAGTACCGGCGCCTAGTAGGGTGACCAGGAGGCCCTCCTAGTCCCAGCTGCTGGCGTCGCCGCCCACGGCAGGGCCGGAGCTGTGACTCGTGGGGACGGTTCCCAGCGCCCCGGCCGGGGAGGCGGGCGGGGAGGGGCGGCGGGGCGCCGGGGCGGGGCTGGAGACTGCAGGGCTTGGGGCTGGAGCCCGCAGCGGGAAGCGGCCGCTGCCCGGGCCGCGCTGGGAGAGGCGAGGCGGGGCGGGGCCGGGCGCTACGGGAAGGGGAGGCCGCGCGGACCCGGAGCCGCACCGCGCCAGCCGGGCTGCAGCGGCTGCGCACCAAGGCCGCTATGGGACTGGAGACGGAGAAGGCAGACGTGCAGCTCTTCATGGACGACGACTCCTACAGCCACCACAGCGGCCTCGAGTACGCCGACCCCGAGAAGTTCGCGGACTCGGGCCAGGACCGGGATCCCCACCGGCTCAACTCGCATCTCAAGGTGAAGCCCGGGGCGGGCGGGCCCAGGTCCCCGCTGAGGCAGGGAGGTGCGGGCGCCCCTCAGCCCCGCCCCACCCCGTCCCACCCTCGCCACCGGGTCGGCCCTGCAGGGTCTGAGACCCGCACCCTCCCCCGGTCCCACGCGCCACCGGGCCGCCTGCGTAGCCAGGAATTCTTAGCCAGGTTCCTGTGCGCCCACCGTGACCCTAAGAGAAGAGGGGGATGCCCTAGCACGTCCTTCCCTCCTGCTTCCCCCGCCCAGAGCACTCCCGGTTCCCAGGGCGGCAGGTCCGCTGACGGTTCCGGGTCCCTGCGTCCTGTCTCCGCAGCTGGGCTTCGAGGATGTGATCGCAGAGCCGGTGACTACGCACTCCTTTGACAAAGTGTGGATCTGCAGCCATGCCCTCTTTGAAATCAGCAAATACGTAATGTACAAGTTCCTGACGGTGTTCCTGGCCATTCCCCTGGCCTTCATTGCGGGAATTCTCTTTGCCACCCTCAGCTGTCTGCACATCTGGTGAGACGGGGCACACAGGGTGGACCAGCTTTCTGAAATATGGGCATATTCTGCGCCACCTGCCCCCTGCTCTCCCCTTATCCCAGGCCGGCGGCAGGAGGAGGAACGCGCATCAGTTCCCAAGCAGTAGGAAGAACTGGAAGGCCTTGAAAGGCCATGCGCTTCCTTTAGAATAACAGTTTGGGCTTGGAGTTTCAACAGGAGAAAGAATGTCGGTCTTTCCTGGGGTGTGATTTTCCTTGCATACATAAGGCTGGGCTGAGTGTGGAGGCGGGTACCTGGAAGCCATACTTCTTGCCACAGGCTGCTTTCAGGGCCCTGTTGTGACTCGTGCCTGCAGTTCTAGGCAGGGCTCTTATTTCTTTCATTACCTTTTATTCAGTCACTACCTGTGCCTGGGGTAAAACAAAAGTAATCTCTGAGCAGAATGCCGCTGACAGTAGAATTGGACGAGGATATCAGACCTGGTTGAGCAGTGGTGTGGAGGGGCTGCTTCAACTTTGCCCCTGGCAGATGGCAAGGATGGGACCCAGAGGAAAGGGAGGTGTGTGCAGTTAAGGCAAGGGTCCCCCAGTACAAACGAATGAAAACTCCAGCTGCGGGATAATGAATGAGGCCTCCAAATTACTTTTTCACTGATGAAACACAAATGGAAGTGGCATCTAGTTAAAGGGGAAAGAAGTATGGAAGCCCCCTGGATATTGATAGGATGTTTTGAGTAACTCTATTCATACTCAAAATGTGTCCTAAACTGTAGAGAACATTCTTAAGCCTCTTTTAAGTTTTTTAAGGAAAATGTCATATTTTACCAATAAATATTGTTTTATTAGAAAATATCCACTTTAATCTGAGAGGAAGAGTATTCAGATCATCCCCAGTATCACGACAGTTGTCACGCTAGTGCTTCAGGTTAGTCCTCGTGAAAAGTATAACCTGAGGTACTTCCATGTCTTTCTTACACTTTATACGATATTCCATACCCTGATCTATGCTCAGTGTTCACTGTTAGAAGTTACCAAATTATTCTTTATTCCTCTATACCACCTGAATCTTAATTTCTTTAGTAGTTAGCTAGCTAGTTAGTTCAACAAACTAAATTGATTGAGTGCTTAGTTTGTGCTGGACACTGGGCCAAGGTGAATGAGAGATAGGGTCTGTCTTCAGCTTAGTCATGGCCTATCAGGGCAGCTGGCTAGGTACAGAAAGCATGCTGAGAAAACACTTTGTCAACTGACAAATAGGGAAGAACAGTCAAGGCTTTGAAGAGGGAAAGGAGTCAAAAAAGACTTTTAAAGGATAAATGAAAATTCACCAAATAAGTAAAGGATAGACAAAGAACGCCAATTTAATTTTATCACTGAAGGTTGTAAACAATTAAACTATGTTGAAGGTGCCAAGATTGCCAGAGAAATGAAAATGTTTGCCTTTGTACATGATCAGCTTTGTGGAGGTCAAATGGATAGTTATATTCTGACATTGGCACATGAATTTTTTTTAAGATGCCTAAGTTGGCGCATAAGATTTGGGATTCCCAATTAACTAAAACTAATCATCTAACCTCTATGTCAGTTTTCTCACTTTCAAAACTGTGAAAAACTAGTGACCGCATAGCATATTGTGAAATGCTGGCTACGAAGCTATTTGGAAATGTATAGTACCATATTTATAGTCAACAAAGCTAGACTTCCCAAAGCTTTTGTGAAAGAATTTGAAAAAAAAAAAAAAAGAAGAAGTTTCTCATTTACTAAATGGTGGAAAAATATAAGTAAAACTACAATTAACCAAGCAATGCCTCCTTCCAGCTGGCTCTTCTGAGAATGGGAGGTGTTTTTGTATAGTACTTCAATTGGTGAATCATCAATGCACCATTTTTTAGCACATAAAAGGTATTTAACTACAGCTTGTTTTTTTAATTGTATCTATGTGGGGCATTAATATTTAACTGTCAGATGTTTGTCACCAGGCAGCTGTGATTGCAAGTAGAGGAGTAATTTCAAACAAGAATGCTTAAAAGTTAGCTTATGCCTTGATAAAATAGGTTTATCATTAATAGATTGCATTTCCATGACGTGATAAGACCAGATCAAGGACAGACCTTACAGAATTGCAAACCCATTTGGTCAAACCTTTTTTTGGTTTTCTTTTTATCTATTTTTTTAAAGCAGGGGCTTGTGTATTGTTTTTACCAAAAAGTTAGTGGTGATCAAAGGTATGAAAATATGCAGTAATGGAACTTTGAACCATGTCACAACATTAAAACAGATCGGATTTTAGATCCTTTAAACGAACAAACAACAACAATAAAACACAGAAGTCTGGTGGTGTTGGATCCTAGACCGGAAGTACAGGTCGTTAGGAATCAGTGAATTAGCGGATTCCATACTACAGTCAGACAGAGATAGCTGCTGTTTGTTAAACACAGGTTATTGGTCATAAGTGAATCATAACCAAACAAATGTGGCTGGAGCACCCATATCCCTTATTTTTGCTGGGATGCAAAGCAAATGTCCAACTGATGGAAATGCAATAGTAGCAATATCATTTCTAGAAGACAGTTTTCGTACAGTAAATTGCTATGATTGAAATCTGCATGACACTACCATTACTACAACACTAAATAAAAGTTTCTATCCTATGGTCTTATTATCCAAGGGAGGAATATATAATCTTATAGATTATAACATTTACTTAAGAAGTGTTTGGTCACATTGAGCCTCAACCAAATTTGGGGTCAATCAGAACTGCCTGGAGTTTCAGAAGCTAAACTATTTATGATGTTGAGAACACAACTTAAGTTTAATATCAGAGGATCATTAGATTCTCTCCTCCAAAATTAGGGAACACAAGTAAACAAAAATAAAATCGAATGAGTTAACAACGCCCTATAAACTGAACTCCTCAAATGTGAGTAACTGCTTTGCTGAAACAAGAAGATTCACTTTTGACATGTGCTAAATTCCCTTTTAGGACACAAAGATCTAAGGAGTCATGGAGATAGAAAATTTATTAGCCTAAGGAAGAATAGAAAGTACATTGTATTCTGGCCAGGAGTAGTGACTCTTGCCTGTAATCCCAGCACTTTGGGAGGCCAAGCTAGGCAGATCGCTTGAGGTCAGGAATTCAAGACCAGCCTGGCCAACATGGTGAAATTCTGTCTCTACTAAAAATACAAAAAGTAGGCAAGCATAGTAGCAAGTGCCCATGATCCCAACTACTCAGGGAGGCTGAGGCAGGAGAATCACTTGAACACGGGAGGCGGAGGTTGCGGTGAGCTAAGATCACATCACTACACTCCAGCCTGGGCGACAGAGTGAGAGAAAGAAAGAGAGAAAGGGAGAAAGGGAGAGAGAAAGAGAGGAAGGAAGGAAGGAAGGAAGGAGAGGGAGGGAGTAAGGGAGTAAGGGAGGAGGGAAAGAAAGAAAGAAAAGAGGGAAAGAAAGAAAAAAGAAAAAAGAAAGGAAGAAAGAAAGGGAAAGAAAGAAAGAAAGAAAAGAAAAGAAGGAAGGAAGGAAGGAAGGAGAGGGAGGGAGTAAGGGAGTAAGGGAGGAGGGAAAGAAAGAAAGAAAAGAAGGAAGGAAGGAAGGAAGGGAGGAAGGAAGGAAGGAAGAAAAAAAAAAGAAAGAGAGAGAGGAAAAAGGCCACTTTGAGGTTATTTTGTTATAGTTATTTTCATTATATATTCTGCCTTTAAAATAGGTCTATTTATTGTACATTATAATGACGGCATCATACAGACATTTCAGAGGTACATAATACATGTCAATCCTCATAGCCAGTTCTGTGAAATCTCCTGTTGACACTTTTATTTGTAGCAACATGCCCAAGACCACACATCAAGTGAGAAATATAATAGAATAGAAAGTCTAAAGTTGCTATCATTGAGGTGTCTATTCAGCTATTTATCTCTGAAACACCTAGTAATTAATTTTTCTATTATATAAAAATGTTTCATGTATTTAGCACTTGAAACAAAACACAAATATAATTTGTGGAGACAGTCAATGTGAATAATTCTATATTCTAAAAATATATCTATCAATCATAAAGCTGCCTAATATTTCCTTCATTTTGAGCTAAGTACAGCAGACCCTAATTTAAGTCATTTTAATAGCAAACCAAGAAAATCAGCCGACTCCCTTACGCCCACTCAGGTAATAATAAAGCTTCCATTGAGGCTACCAGCAGCGCCTGAAAATCTCACAACTACTTTTGTGCTCAGAGGACATTACTACAACAGAGAACATTATTTGGAAAATTACATATAAAATTAACCATCCTGAGGACCATAAGGATATGTAGCTCTGTTAGGAACAAGCATGCAAAAAAATAACAATTTCAGGATAGACTAGTTTTCTTGTGTAAAAGTTCTAACATCAATCTCAGGGCTCTTTCAACTATACCATACAGCCCTTTTCAGTGTGTGTGATTACTGTGAAAAATTAAAAATATAAAGTATAGTTAATAACATAAGGCATAAAAGAATGATAAATTTATATTAGCTCAAACATTTGCTAAGGGTCAAGGATGTCCTCACTGTTTAAAAAACTTAAACTCTAATAGGAAAGACAGAAATACAGCATCTATTTATAATACCTTTTGATACTTGTGAAGATTAAGAAGTTTGTTTCAGTACTTTAGAAATACAATGAGGGAATATCCGATCTAGCCTGGTCCAGGAAAAGGGAAATACACTGAGGCAACAGGAAAGGCTATCAGGAAGTAAAACCTCAGGGAAATACGAAGACTTAAGCAGGTTAATGTTAACTGGCAGAGACCAGGTAGATAAAGACACAGTTTTATTTATTTTTGTTTTATTGTTTCAGATAGCATGCCACCAATAGAAAGAATATTAGTGTTTATTATCTACAGGACTATATTTTTAAGCAACATATTTTTATGCATCTTATCACTTTAGTCCATTTGCATTACTATGAAGGAATGAATACCTGAGACTGGGTTATTTATAAAGAAAAGAGGTTTATTTTTGCTCATGGTTCTGCGGGCTGTACAGGAAGCACACTGCCAGCATCTACTTTAGGCAAGGACCTCAGGAAGCTTCCACTCATAGTGGAAGGCAAAGGAGGAGCAGGCATCTCACATGGCAAGAGAGGGAGCAAGAGAGAGAATGGGGAGGTCCCAGACTCTTTTAATCAACCAGATCTCACTTAAACTGAGAACTCACATTATCAAGGGGGTGGCAGGCACAGGCACTAAGCCATTCATGAGGCATCTACCCTCATGATCCAATTATCCCCACTCGGCCCCACCTCCAACACTGGGGACTACATTTCCATGAGAATCAGGGGGACAAAAAACCCAAATCATTATCAGTGATCACTGTTCATTTATTTATTCAAACGCTCAACCAAATTTAAGTAAATTGGGTCAGTGTTGTATCTCTTAATATATGTACAAGAGAGACCTTATTTGGTCACAACAACAATCCTCACACATCTCTCTTCCTTCACTCCAGGATTTTAATGCCTTTTGTAAAGACCTGCCTAATGATTCTGCCTTCAGTGCAGACAATATGGAAGAGTGTGACAGATGTTTTCATTGCTCCATTGTGTACAAGCGTAGGACGAAGCTTCTCTTCTGTCAGCCTGCAACTGAGCCAGGACTGAATACTTGGACCCCAGGTCTGGAGATTCGGATACTGTAATACTTCTTTGTTGTTATAACATAAAAGCACCACTGTTCTGTTCATTTCCTAGGTGTTCTAATTAAGAAAACTATTAAGATGAGCAACCACATTTAGAAATGTTTATTGACAGATCTTTTCAAATAATGCTTTTCTGATTAATAGCCAAAGATTTTGTATCTAACTTTGTAACCAGAATTATACGATAAGTTGACACCACTTAGATTTAAAGGCAGGCAGTTTTGTTTTAGTACAATAGTACAAATTTTATAATGATGAATTTATAATGATTAAGGGACATTTCTATCAAAATACTACAATAGTTTTATGCACAACTTCCCATTAAAAATAAGATTTCTTATTTGTTTGTTTGTTTGTTTTTACTCTGGGAGTAATACTTTTTAAATTACCTTTACATATATAGTCACTGGTATACTTAGAATATACAATGATCCTGGAAACTGCAGTAACAAAAGCACACAATGATTATAGTAACTATCAGATACAATAAAACAAATAAATGTGAAAATAGATTCATGAAAATGTATTCCTTTAAAGTATTGTTTTCCTACAGGCCTATTTAACAAGATGTTTCATTTTACTGTATATTTTGTACTTAATATAAATGTTGCTCTAATCAGATTGCTTAAAAGCATTTATATTATATTTATGTTGTTGAACTAATATATGAAATAAGTAAATGTAGCTCCCACAAGGTAAACTTCATTGGTAAGATTGCACTGTTTTGATTATGTAAACATTTATACATCTTCTTTGGAAATAAAATATAAAAGAGCTATATACAAAGCTTTCTTTTCTAACTTTTCCAAGCAAAATCTGAAATGTTTTATGACTGACATTTATCTGGCTGTGATCTTAAAATAATTCACATCTAAATAGTATTTTGTCTAGAAGATGCTTTCTCTCTAGTAGTTAGAAATTAAACCTGTGTCAGCATTCCTATTAATGCTTCACTTTACTTTCAGGTAATATTGGTGCTATTTAACATTTTACAGTAAAGGTTACTTCTGATACTTTAGTACCATTTCAACTACAGTGATTCATGTAGAGAGACAGGAGAGTTGTCAACACTTGTTGGGCTACTGAACTACAGGCATAAACTAAAAACTAACAGCTGCAAACTTTTAAGATGTTCTCTAATATGGGTATGTAACACAGGATAAAGTTATTCTTGTCATTTTGAACTGTGGAGTCCTATTTCACTGTGATGAATCATGTTGCTTTGAAAAATCTCCTTATTTCTGGGCCGGGCAAGGTGGCTCACACCTGTAATCCCAGCATTTTGGGAGGCCAAGGTGGGCAGATCATGAGGTCAGGAGATCAAGACCATCCTGGCCAACATGGTGATACCTCGTCTCTACTAAAAATACAAAAAAAATTAGTTGGCATGGTGGCGTGCACCTGTAGTCACAGCTACTTGGGAGGCTGAGGCAGCAGAATTGCTTGAACCCAGGAGGCAGAGGTTGCAGTGTGCCACTGCACTCCAGTCTGGCAACAGAGCAAGAGTCTGTCTCAAAAAAAAAAAAAGAAAGAAAGAAAGAAAGAAAAGAAAAGAAAAAAGAAAAATTTCATTATTTCAAAATGATAGACATATACCAAAAAAAACTTTATAATGTGAATAATTACTAAAATTTACACATCTTAAAAGTGTGTAAATGCTTGAATTACCATCAGAACCTGAACTGACATTCCTTTGAGTACCCTTGTAAGTGACAAATAAGATTAATAAGATTTTTCAAAATCGCCAGGACTGGTGAATATAAATGATGATTGAACTGGAATACTATTGGGGACCAAATCAAATGAATGATTAAATTATGAAGCTCATACCCTTTTGAAGGTAGTTGCAAAGAGACATTTCAAAACTGCCCTAGGCCATTGTAGCATCCTTAGATGTGACACATAATCATTACCTTAAAGCACCACCACTCATTTTGACCATATAGATTTTATTATGTTAGTTTAAAAGGTCAATCAGTCTCATGACTTTATAGTTATGTTTTGTACTGAAAAACATTTTTTAAACATTTGGATATGTTGATAAACCAAAAACCTTTGATTAATAAAATATCTATTTTAATAAATTGGGAACTTCTTTCAAATAGCTATTGGCAAGTTTTAAACCCAAAATATATACACATAATTCTGTAATAAAACTGTGTGACTTCTAACAAGTAATGTGACTTCCTTATTTCTGAACAGTACTGGTTACTTTCAAAATGAATTTTTATTGAGATTTTCCATTAAGTATTTTTTTCAAAGACTCAAATTTTGTACCAGGTAAATCCAGCTTTTATGTACAAACATGTTGTTTGTTTTATTTGGGGCTGGGGGAGGTATATGATGAGCAGACTTCCTCAGAATTCATAATAAATTTTCTAAAAGCCTATAAATGTGTGTATTGCTTTTATTACAGTAAATATGGAACATTTCCTACCTATTTTTACCTTATTAAAAACTCAAAATAATAAATACATTAGTTATTGCTTATTTGGAATGTATTTTTAAAAGTAATTACATTAGTACTTGAATTATTTGTTTTCCAGCACTTAAAGAGGTTCCATATAAATTTTCTGTCATAAGATAAATAGTATAAAATAGCCTGTTCACACACCCACCATAATTCTTCTTTTTTATAAAGTCTTTTCTTGCTAATCCTAAATAAACTGAAATTTCTGTTTCCAATTTTTAAAATAAGAAAGTAACAATATAAATCACATGTACTTGGATACCTGTACTATGAAGCTAGACTAGAGTCCAAAATTATTTTTGGAAAGTGAGTATGTAAAGAGTAGTTGCTGATGTTGGCATACATTTTCTTGTCAGTTCATCTGGAAAAATGACCAACCTATAATAATAAAGCAGGTGCTTGGCTTTTTAAAATGTTCTTTATAGTTTTGAGGAACTTTTAAAATTCATCTTTTTGATAGTCATCCACATCCCATTAATTTATTTTGATGCCTTTCTTGGAAAGTTGCTGGAGTGTAGTGAAAAAAGCCCTGCCGTAGAAGTCAGGCAACTGGATTCCAGTCTCAGCCTTGCCATTATTGAGGTGTATCCCCTCGGGTTCTCAGTTTTCTTATCGTTAATGAAAGAATTGAACTAAATGATCTCTCCGGAGCGTCCCATCTCATTGTTTTCTGTGACTTCAATAGGATGAAGACTTGGCTATGTATATGAAAACCAGCCTAACTGTCCAATCCAAAAACATTTTTTTAAATCAGTGAATTTTCAATCAATTACAGGATAGGTGTGCTAGAAATACAATAATTAATGCATATACTTTTCACCCTTCCATTGATTGTGAGACTGTATTTGGCCTCAATTCGTTAAAACAGAGATCCTAAGATTTTTATCAATTGTAAGTCTTCATTATTGTTATGAATTTCTCAAAAAAGTAGTTACTTTGTATCTTAATTAGAATTTGCTATTGAACCTTTAACAACATGGGATTGAACTGTGCAGTTCACTTATGCTCAGATTTTTTTTCAGTAAATACAGTTAGCCTTCCGTATCCACAGGTTCCTCATCTACCACCAAACTGGATCCAAAATAGAGTATTGCAAGATGCAAAACCCTCAGACAAGGAGGGCTGACTTTTCATCTCCTTGGGTACTGCAGGGATGATGGGACTTAAGTATGCAGGATTTTTATATCTGCAGGGGAGTTCTGGAACCAATCCCCCGAGGGTACCGAGGAATGACTCTATTTCATTTGAAGATTTTCTATCAAAATCACTGCTATGCCACCATAATCACTACCATCTTTCTCTTTTGCCCAGCTATTTGCCACAGCCTCCTAACTGACCTCACTCCCTGCCTTCAATATGATCACCAATCCATCTTTCTCTTTAAAAAAAATATGATTACACCAAGACTACCCTGTCATTTCCCTGCTTAAAACTATCAATTTTTATGTGATTGCCGTGAGAATAATTTTGCAAGTTCTTGAGCAACGTATGCAAGATGTTCATTATCAACCCATTGTCATCGTTAGCGACTCTTCTGTAACTTTACTGAACAACCCGTGCTACTCCCGTGTACCCACTGTCTCCTGCCCCATGTCAGCATTACTTTTCTCCTCATGCCTGCCTCACTCTTATCTGCTTCCAAAACTCTTCCACATTAAGTGCCTCTTCTGTGTCTACATCTAAAATCTTGCACAAATTCCTATTATCACCTGTCACGTTGTAAAAGTAACCCTGTTAACTAACACCATTAGACTGCTACTTAGATTTTTGAGAACCAAAAACATCACTTCACCTTTGCTAGCATTCTGAAACGGTGCCCAGTACTTAACGAGTTCCATCAATATTTTCTGAATGAATGATTATGTAAATAAATAACTGGAGAAATCTTGGGATAATTACAGAACTGGGAGTGGGAATTGCACTACAACTTTGTAATTTCTTCATTTACAACAGGGATTTGAAATGTACTGATTCTAATAAAAATTTCCTTCCCACCATTTTCTCACTCATGAATCATTAAGTTGGGAAAACTAAAACGTATATAAACAATTTTATATTTTATCGATTGGGGTAATGCCTGCCTTTAGTCTCCATTCTCTTATCTAATATTTACTTTTAATTCTTCAGGGGTAGAAAGCCCTAGCATTTAGAAACTTGTTTGGAAACACACTATCATGCTTTCTAGAATGTTACTATTTCATTTACTATTCTATTCCTCATTTTGAAATTTATAACACTGAAACATTGTTTCTTTGGGTTTTACATTTTAGAAAACACATTGTCTCATTTGAATCCCAGAACAAATTAAATAACATAATGGAGAAATCAAACAAATAATAGCTCAGTTTTTCTAGCTTGCAACCTTATCATTTTAGAATGTTTGTTTAAGATAATAAGTGCTTACAGAATTTTTACAGGGTTACACATTACTTTAAGAAACTTAAAAAAATAGTAAGTAGAACTGCAAAGAAAAATTACCACAATGAATGTAATTTATCACAAATCAGGATTGGGCACACTTCTTCCCTTCAAGGTGTATATGTGTGAAGGGAGGACAGAGAAAGAACTTGACAGAAGAGGGGTAAAGGATACAGGTATACTAGATATTCAGTTCATATTTTTTAGGAGTAAAAATAAGTTTGGCAACTATAACCATCCCAATTTCTTCTCCCTATTCATCCCAAAACAGCAAAATGAGCAAAATAAAGCACCCCTTGCTACATTTTTAATCTCTTGCTTTGGATTGTATCTGAAATGCTGCCATTGGAACTTGACATCTTGACACTTTTTAAAGTGAAACATACCCTTAAGTGGGGTAACATTTCAATCTATTAGCAGTCATCTATTTACTTTAGGTGAACAAATGATCTGAGAAAGGAGTGTCAAAAACTACATATGGGAACCGAGCATAAGAGCTCTGAGCACAACATGAGAGTCCCACACACTGATGAAAAGAGATGTCACCAAAGAGAAAGCTGCCACAGAAAAGGGGAACAAGAGGCTCCAATCACATGGCCTTCAGCCTTCCCAGTTTTGCTTTTAGACAACCCAAATCCCTAGTGAAAGGGGCATTGAATCGTAGCAGGAGTGGAGGAAGTTGAAGTCAGCTAAAGACTTTTCTTTTTATCCACAAAGGAAAGTTGCTTTTGTCTTACTGAATGAATAGGACCCTAGGAGCGGGCATGAGGGCACTGCTGGAATCATGTGCCCTAAAGACAATGCCGAAGCCTGAAAATGAAAATGAAAATGAAACTGTAACTTGTGACCATCTCTCTGTGTCTTCTTTCGCCTTGCCTCTCTGTGCTGTTGACTGTTGCGGCATGTCTGTGGCAAAGAAAGACCATGCTGCAGTCAGAGAAATCAGAGGACACCACTTCAACAATTAACCAAAAATAGGACAGGGACACCTATCTGCCTGCGCTTGGACGTGGACGTATTAGGTCATTCAGCTCAGCTGCGTGACTGGAGAAATCATTTTGCCATTATAGGAAAAGGTAGGGGTGTAGGATGATGGGAGAAAGGAAGAGACATGACTCAGAGCGGGAAACAGCACAGAGCCAAGGACAAATATTTCTCTAAGACATAAATGGATCAGGAAGAGGTGAGAGCAGCAGGTCATCTTTGGAGCATTCTTTTCTTTCCTGCCTCCCAGTCACTTGTCACCAAGCACCAACCAGTAACAAAAGGGGAGAGAAGGGCAGTATGCAGGACCTGTTTCTCTGACTGACTGGCACATCGGTTCCAGCCAACTGCTGTCTCAGCTAACTAGGGCAGTGAAACAAGGAGTCATTTGGAAGGTTGCAGGGATGCACACACCATATCCCAGGGATGCAAGTGATGAGGAATAACCACCATGCTTATTTTACTGAGGAGGAAACTGGTTGAAATTCTTTATGCATTATATGACTGGGAGACCTCTGATCTCAGTACAAATAATAACAGGAGTATTTATGTTTGTTGAGCACTTATAATCTTCTGGGCATTTACTTAATCAGTACAATAACCCTACGATGGGAAAGTTACTGTCATTCCCATTTTTCAGATAATGAAACTGACGCTGTGAAGTTAAGGAATTTGCCCTAGACCACAGTCAGGATTTGAGCCAAGAGAGCCTGACATCAGAGTCCACACTCTTAATCACTGTAGAGATGATTTTCCAATTCCTGAAAGAATGTGTCCATGGCTGTTCTTACGACTTCCAGCCAAAATCTTCTTTTGTCATTCATCATTCAATCATGTCACCTTTCCTACTCTGAGAAGCACCTTTTTTCCATTCTCCCATCAATGGAGGCAGTTTCGTGTCCTCAGTTGTAAGAGCTCCCCCAAGCTAGCACCTGGGCTTCATGTACCCTCCTCACTCTGCCTCTGTCTAATCCCTGAGCCCCTCCCCCAGCCCTATACGCCACTTTTCAGGGCACACCCTTTCTTTCTCCTTAGGATCTGAGCTCTAGACCTTACACTCCAGCAAAAGTCAGAAAAATCATTCCCAAATGCCATTATTCCCATTTTTGTAAATTTTATAGAATTTTATTCCTTCAAGCAGACTTCCCTAATATGTATTAAAAGCCCAGTGATGATTTTTCTTCTCACTGCTAAACATCCTGACATGTAAAATATTAATAATTACAGCAAAAAATTTCAGTTTGGACTAAGCATATTGTTTTTTAGACAGAATCCTTATTTTGTATTTTTCTTCATTTTGTTGGAAATTTCTTGTCAGTTTGTACATCCTTTAATATGTTACCCAATTTTATTTTCAGTTACTTTATCTTGGAGATCCTGGGGAAAACCATATATGAATTTCTTTTCTCCTATTGAATAATTTGCTCACAATAAATTTTCTTGATTTTATTTTTTAGAGACAGGGTCTTGTTCTATCACCCAGGCTGGAGGGCAGTGGTGCAATCTCCTAGGCTCAA